CTGTCAGTGGGGGCAGAAAAATAAACTTCATTCAAAGGGAAAACAAGTTTATGTTCTTGTTTTGAGCACAGGCTAAACTCAAATTCTGACACATTTTCCAGAAAACAAGACTTAATATTTTATGTCATTTTGCATCTCAAGTAAATATCGATGTAAGAAAATGTATATACTTGTACTGAAAAACAAGAGACAAATACTGAGGAAGAACATAGTTTTTTAAGTTTGTGAAACCAGTTCTGAAGAAGCTTCTTCAACATTATTTAAGGACAAGGAGCATTATTGACTGGCCTGTGTGGTTTATATTCCCTCGATGTTTCTCATCTCTAAGATACAGTGTCTTAATATAGTCTGTAATGAAGTGCATCAATAAATCAGAGAAACATAAACTCAATCCCTTCTCGTCGACCGATGGCTTCTGTCTGTCAAACGGTGGCAGGAACTCCAGTTTGAACAGGAAGATTTTCAATGTTTTTTAAAGAAGTCTCTTCTGTTCACCAAGCCTGCATTTATTTGATCCAAAGTACAGCAAAACAGTAACATTTTGAAATATTTTTACTATTTAAAATAACTGTTTTCTATGTGAATATCTGTTAAACTGTAATTTATTTCTATGATCAAATCTGATAAATCAGAGAAACATAAACTCAATCCCTCCTCGTCGACCGATGGCTTCTGTCTGTCAAACGGTGGCAGGAACTCCAGTTTGAACAGGAAGATTTTTAATGTTTTTTAAAGAAGTCTCTTCTGTTCACCAAGCCTGCATTTTGTAACGTCTTAATATCATCACTTTTGATCAATTTAAAGCATCCTTGATAAATAAAAGTATTATTACTTTCTATAATCCCCCCCCCCCAAAAAATAAAAACTATACGGACTCCAAGCTTTTGAATGGTAGAGTGTATAATGTTACAAAAGCTTTTTATTTCAGATAAATGCTGATCTTTGGATCTTTCTATTCATCAAAGCATCCTGAAAAAATGTGCTCAACTGTTTTGAATATTGATAATAATAACAACAACAAATATGTTTTTTGAGCAGCAAATCAGCATATTAGAATGATTTCTGAAGGATCATGTGACACTGAAGACTGGAGTAATGATGCTGAAAATACAGCTGCGCATCACAGGAATAAATTACAGTTTAACAGATATTCACTTAGAAAACAGTTATTTTAAATAGTAAAAATATAAAAAAATCTTCCCGTTCAAAACCTTGTGACTGGTAGTGTATGTGTGTGTTTAGGATTGTTTATTACAGAAAGGTCTTTGAACATTACTGAGAATTAGCGCTCGATCGGCTTGTTTTGTGTCTCCGCTGTAACGGAGGACGTCCGAGGGTCTGGGTGCTGCTCTATAAAAAGAAACGTCAGATCAGTTCCACCAGACAGATTTTATCTCGTGGCAACACTTAGCTTGTCCTTGCCGAGCTATTTTCTGTCGTCTCCTGAGGCGCATTCCTGCTTAAAACTGTTCCTGCTTAAAGCTGCTGGAATAGTGTCTCAGGAACGCGATAAACATAAGCGCATCTCCATACGACAGTAAACAGAAAACAGACGGAACCGGCCTAACATGAGCTGCTGGTCTCAGCTGGTTTGAGCTGGTCCTCCAAAATACCTCTGAAATCTCAGAACTCTACATCTGTAAACAATAACATTTAAGTTAAGTTAAAGATGAATTCAATCCAAATGAATAATATATTAGTGCTGTCAAACGATTAATCGCGATTAATCGCATCATTATATACTGTATATATATAAATGCACACACATACAGTATATATTTCAGAAAAATGTAATATTGGTATATTAAATATATTTATATATAAATTATATAAATATAAATATATGCATGTAAATATTTTCAATATATAAACTGTAAGTGTGTACGTTTATATAATAAATATACACAGTACACACATACAGAAATGTGAAATTTTGTATATTTCATAAACAAAAACTTTTTTTGGATGCGATTAATCGCGATTAATCACTTGACAGCACTATAATAAATAAAACTATTAATAAACTACTAAAAATAAACAACTTTAAAAAAATTTATCTTATCAGACTAAAATAAAACTAAATACATAAATGAAACAAATAGAAATAAATATAAATAATAAATTAATAAAAATTAATATGTTTTAAAAACAGTTCAATAATAATAATAATAATAAAATACACTAAAGTTCAATAAATAATTAAATAAAGTACTGATTATATGAATAATCTAGATATCACAATGTATATTTAATAGGTATTTGTGTATATCAACGTTTATTTTACAATTAAATCTGGCTCATTCAATTACATTCAAATAAAAAAAATAAAAATCAATGCATAAATCAATAAAAACAAATATGATATAAATAAAAATAATAGTTTTTATAAAACTAATATGATATCATAATATGATACGATACACCAAAATTCAATAAATAATTATTAATGATCTTATTAGTAATTTCACAAAAAAGACAATTTATAGGCCTACAGAATTAATAGGTAATAATAATAATAATAATAATAAAGATTTAATAAAGAATAAAGATCAATTTGAAAACTATAATTTGATAAAATACACCAAACTACAATCAATAAGTACATGAATTAATGATAATATAATAATATCGATATCACAATAAAACAATTTATTTAGAATTACCAGGTGTTTGTGTTTGTAAATCAGCTTTTATTTTATTTAACTTTAAATGTGGCTCATCCAATCAGATTCAAATAAAACATAATACCAATAAAATAACAAATTAAATTAAAAAAATACTAATAAAATATAAATAAATAAAAATCAAATATTTTTTATACAACAGTTCAATAATAATAATTTGATAAACAATACTACATTTTTATAAATATAAAAAAAAATAAATACAATTAAATTAATTAGTGGAAATGATATATATTGATAATATCATGACAAGACAATTTATATATAATTTACAGGTGGCTCATCCAATCAGATTTTAAAACCAAAACTATTGCATTATATAATTCAAGTTGTGTTGCTGTCCCATATTTACTGCATTAAACGCATCCCACCCGAGTTATCGGCCGCTGTCGCTGTCTATCAGCGTCTATCCATGTCTAATCAGCAAACGACAATCAAAATTAGCGAGTGAAATCAGGAGCTTGACCTCTGACCTCCTCTGATCTATGACGCGCTGCTCGCTGGCCTGGTATGAGTTACAGACGAGGTTAACGGAGGGTCAGAGAGCCCAAAAACAGGCCGCAGGGATGCAGGGCCGCTCACAGATAAGAGGACAGAGAGCCAGTGTTTACTCTGGAGCGGCTGCAGGGGTCACAGGGGTCACGCCATGATTTCAGCTCTTTGAAATGGAAACATGCCGCTGGTGACCCTCCAAAACACACTAAACCACTATCATTAGACTTATTTTAGACTTTCACACACTGTAACACCATTGATACAAGTCACTATCGCAAAATAAATCAAGGTCTCGTCACCCTAAAAATGGGTTTTGCTGCATTATTTTGCAATAATGACTGTCTGACTGTATATTATGCCACTTAATATCAAACGTTCATGAAATATTAATTATGTGTAATAAGAATAAATGGCTATTATGTGAAGAAACCGGTAAATTACACAGTTTAGAATAAAATTAAATAATAGAATAAATAGATATGATAGATAAATAACAGAATAAATAAAAAAAGTATTTAAAAAAGTAAAAAGTCAAGCACAAAAATAAAGCTATTCAAATGCTTGTATTAATTTAAAGCTAAACAATAAAATAAAGTAAAATATGCAATCCAATGCATAATAAAATAAAATTCAATAAAATAATAGATCAGAAGTAGAAAGTTAAGCACCAAAGTAAAGTGATTCAAGTGCTTATATTAATTCAATGCAAAACAATAAAATAAAAAGTAAAATGTACAATACTATAAAATAAAATAAAATAAAATATAGCCATTTAAGTGCTTATATTATTTCAAAGCAAAACAATTAAATAAAGTAAAATATGCAATGGAATCCAATCCAATGCATAATAAAATAAAATAAAATAAATAAAATAAAATAAAATAAAATAAAATCAAGTAAAATAATAGATCAGAAGTAGAAAGTTAAGCACCAAAGTAAAGCGATTCAAGTGCTTATATTAATTCATTGCAAAACAATAAAATAAAAAGTAAAATGTACCATACTATAAAATAAAATAAAATAAAGCCATTGAAGTGCTTATATTATTTCAAAGCAAAACAATAAAATAAAGTAAAATATGCAATGGAATCCAATGCAATGCAATGCAATGCAATAAAATAAAATAAAAAAGAGTTCAGAAGTAAAAAGTTAAGCACAAAAGTAAAGCAATTCAAATGCTTATATTAATTCAATGCAAAACAATAAAATCAAAAAGTAAAATACGCTATGGAATACAATATAGTGCAATAAAATATAAAAACAAATATGGTACAAAAATAGAAATTCAAGCACAAAACAATTCAAGTGCTTGCATTAATTTAATGCAAAACAATAAAATGAAAGTTAAATATAAAAAAAGTTAAATATGCAGTCCAATGCAACACAATGCAGTGCAATAAAGTCAAATAAAATAAATAATTAGATCATTAAATGACACCACTGACACATGTATTACTAAGAAGAAACATGTCATATTAATTAACAAAAGCATTTAACTTGTTAAAACAAACAAACATATAATATAAAAACAAGGTGTCAAAAGTAGGGATTGATACCACTTTTTCCAGTACTCGCCCGATACCGATACTTTCATTTTTGGTACTTGCCGATACCGAGTACCGATACCAATATTTTTATTGCATTTGTAAATTTTTTTAAATATTGGGTACAGAAACCAAAAGGGTGTGTATAATGTTAGTTGGTTAACTTCATTTATCAAATAGATACGATACCGATACCAGTATCGGTGCATCCCTAGTCAAAAGTCAAGCACAAAAATGAAGCCATTCAAGTGCTTGCATTAACTTGATGCACAACAATCAAACAAAACTACTAAGAATCACGTATAATTTTAATCAACATATTTATGTTGTCAATGGAAAGCATCCTGGCCATTGTTGTGTGCGCTGTCCCTTTAAGAATGAAGAGCAGCGCAGGAGTTGATTACATCTGTATGTCTGATATTCAGAGGAGCTTGTGAGTGATTTGTGTGGATTTGAACAAGCGCTTTGAATGTAAGCCTCCAAATGTCCCATAATCACCCGTGACCTCAGCTTCACCTGCGCTGTGAACCGCTGGCAGATTTCTGACCCATATTCAGCTCTCAGCACACATTATGATCCGCACATGGAGGGATTCACACTGTTCATGATCAGACAAACCCTAGAATCACAGAGAAAACACACTTTTCATCTAACAGGATCATGTTGAGCTGCTCGGTGTCATTTCTGTGCCACCAGTGGCTCCAAACCGATTTGCTATAATTACGTCTGTCGTTGGTCAGCCAAACAGACAGTCCCGCCTCCAAACTCACGTCAATGGTTGAGTCAGCTGATATGTCAGGATGCTCGAATACAGATTAATGGTCAAAGTCAGTCATTCACTCATCAGGAAGTCAAATTAACTTTTGCAACGGATCTACAGTGTGCATATGATGACTTAAAATGCTGCTTACGCTGGCAGCACACAAGTGCTGTACATTAAATGACAGCGAAGCCACTTATAAGACTGCATATATTGTGTTTTTGATGAGTTAGACAGATATGTAGAAGCATGCAATACATTTAAATAAATTTTAACTTCTCAGATAAAGCCAATCAATTGTAAAAATGAAATGCAATACCACTAAATAAAATAAAAAATAGCGAAATAAAATAAAAAATAAAAAGCTTCAAACAGGAAGAAGTCAAGCTCTAAAATATGGCTGGTCAAATGCTTGCATTAATAATAATAATAATAAAAAAAGTAAAATATGCCATTCAATGCAATGCAGTAAAAAAAAAAAAAAAAGGTTCAAATGTAGAGTCAAAAACTAAAAGCCACTCAAGTGCTTGCATTGATTCAATGCATAACAATAAGATTAAATGAAATATGCAATGCAATGCAATAAAATTAAATAAAATTAAAAATAATATAAAATTAAAGAAATACAAATATTATGTTCAAATGTAGAAAGTCAAGCACTAAAATAAACCAATTTTCATGCTGGCATTAATTCAATGCAAAGCAATCAAATTAAAAAATATGCAACGCAATGCAATGAAATAAAATAATAAAATAACAGAATATTAGGTACAACACCATTAACTAAAATGAAGCAATTCAAATGCTTGCATTAATTAATTGCAAAACAATACAATTTATGTATTGAAAAATAAAAAATATGCATAAAAATAATAATAAATATAAAAATATTAGCTTTAAACAAAAAGTCAATAACTAAAATGCCCTTCATCTGCTTGCAAAAATGGAATGCAAAATAATAAAATTAAATAAAATATGCAATGCAATAAAGTATTAGGCTTAAAAGTAGAAAGTAAAGCACTAAAACAATACGATTTATGTATTGAAAAATAAAAAATATGCATAAAAATAATAATAAATATAAAAATATTAGCTTTAAACAGAAAGTCAATAACTAAAATGCCCTTCATCTGCTTGCAAAAATGGAATGCAAAATAATAAAATTAAATAAAATATGCAATGCAATAAAGTATTAGGCTTAAAAGTAGAAAGTAAAGCACTAAGATTAAGCCACTGCTAATTGCTGGAATAATCAGATTCCCATCCCTTTCAGAGCGCGGCCTGGAGCTGAACTCTGGATACGGCCACACATCCAGTGATGCGCCTCTCTCGCTCCATCTGTGTGATTTGATTTGCTGGGATCAGCAGAAGTTTAGCGCGTTCCCAAAGCTTTGCTCTGGCTCTTGGCCTCTGCAGTCCATGCCTTCAAACACGTCACAATCTGAGAGCTTCTGACAAACTGTTGACGTGTTTGAACGCGATGAACACAGACAGAACACACAGACACAGACAGACTCACACACAGAAACGGACGGATTGCTTTAGTACAGTCCAGAGACAGTGAATTTATCTGGATGTCATACATGAAGATTATGGGCGCACTGTGATACTGCTTAAAAACATGAAAGATCGCTGTGTGTTTGCCTTCAGTTTAACAGAGCTGGAGTGAGAAACGCTTCAGTCTCAGGGGAGGTTGTTCAAACAGCACTGGAGAAACGCAATATTACCAGAAATGAGACAGATATGTGCTCTGTCAGTTTAAAGACCACCATGAAAACACGTCAGAAACACATATAAGTTCTGACTTATATGTTCATACAGAACATATAAGTTCAAAAATAGAAAGTCAAGGACCTAGATGATGCCATTCGAATACTTGCATTAATTCAATGTAAAATAATGAAATAAAGTTAAATATGGAAGGCAATACAATGCAATTCAACAAAATAAAATAAAAAATATTTTTAAAAATAGAAAGTCAAGCAAAATAAATAATAATGTAAAATATGATATAAAAATAAAACAAAAAATATCAAAATTTATTTATTTTTTTAAACTAAAGTAATAAAAGAAAGTTAAATATGCAACAATATGCAAGGGAAAGACACGGGCTCACCAAGAGGGGAACCGTACCATGGAAGAATACACACATAGAATCACCATGGGGATCACAACATATTGCACCTAGCCTAGCACAGGGGTTAACTAAGAGGCAACTTTACGAGTGTTAGGCCTGGCGCCGGGCGCTCCACCACGTTTGGCTGCCGAGGGTAACAGAGGAACTCCACAGGGTTCGCCTTGTGGGGAACTGAACTGAAAAGCAGAATAAGCGCACGTATCTGGTCCGTAGAGGGGAATGGCACAGCAAGCGAGACACCGAGCAGTCTCTCTGGTTCACTGGCTACTTGAGGCGAGTGCAAGAGAGGACAATGGGTCTACACGAAGGCTATAAAACCTAGCAAACATGTTTGGTGTCGCCCAGCCCGCAGCTCTACAAATATTTGTCAGCGAGGCCCAAGGTGAAGCAACACTCCTTGTCGGGCATGGCACGCCTTGGGTTTTTATACGCCAAGACGATTGCATCCACTATCCAGTGGGCCAACCTCTGCTTGGAGACAGCCTTTCCCTTCTGCTGGCCTCCGTAACAGATGAAGAGCTGCTCTGAGGTCCTAAAGCTCTGTGTACGGTCCACGTATAGGCATAAAGCACGAACAGGACAGAGCAAAGCTAGGGCTGGGTTTGCCTCCTCTGAGGACAGCGCTGGCAGGTTCCCCACCTGATCCCTGAAAGGTGTGGTGGAAACTTGGCACATATCTGGGACGGGGTCTCAGGATAACATGAGAGTTAGCCGGCCTGAATTCCAGGCACAGTTCGTTGACCGAAAATGCATGCAGGTCCCCTACCCTCTTGATGGAAACCAGCGCAGTTAAGAGCACTGTCTTTATTGACAGAGTTCTCAGCTCTGCAGACTGCAATGGCTCAAAGGGAGCCCTCTGCAATGCCGTAAGCACCAGAAGTAGATCTCAAGATGGTACTGGGTTAGGGCGAGGAGGATTTAGTCTCCTCGCGCCCCTCAGGAACCTGATGATCAGGTCGTGCTTCCCATCCTGTAGACTGACCATCTACAGGATCGTGATGTGTGGCACTTGCGGCAACATACACTTTTAGGGTGGAGGGAGAAAGCCTTCGCTCCAAGCCCTCCTGGAGGAAGGAAAGCACAGCTCAGTTCGGGCATCTCCTGGGGTCTTCCCGGTGAGAAGAGCACCATTCAACGAACAGGTTCCACTTCAAGGTATAGGCACGCCTTGTAGAGGGTGCTCTTGCCGAAGTGATGGTGTCTACCACCACCCGGGGTAGATCACCTAGGACCTCTGCGTCCCATCTAGGGACCACACGTGGAGGTTCCACAGATCTGGACGCGGGTGCCCCGTCTCTTAGAAAGTAGTTCTTTCCTCAGAGGAATGCGCCAGCGAGGGGCTGTCGCGAGGAGCATCAGTTCTGGGAACCAGGTCGGTTGGGCCAGTAAGGCGCAACTAGCAGGACCTGCTCCTCGTCCTTCCTGACTTTGCAGAGTGTCTGCACAGTGTCTGTGTTTTCCCCAGTGTAGGCTCACTGGGGGAAACGCATACTTGCGTAGGCTGTGTGCCAGTGCATCTGTGCTGATGGTCCCCCCAGTCAGGGAATATCACATCTGGCAATGGGACGTGTCTGGAGAGGCAAACAGGTCTACCTGTGTGGCTCCGAAGTGTCCCCATATCAGATGGATTGCCCGGGGATGGAGGCTCCATTCTACCGGAAGTGCATGCTGCCGTAAAAGCTCGTCGGCTGCATGATTGAGCAGGCCCAGAATGTAAATGGCACGAAGCTACCTCAGATGCTTCTGACTCCATAGGAGGAGATGGCGGGCGAGTTGCGACATACGACCGGAGCGTAGACCACCCTGTTGGTTGATGTACACAACGGTCGCAGTGTTGTACGTACAGACAAGTACGTGCTTGCCTTGTAGCAGCGTTTTGAAGCGGCCCAGCGCAAGACATACTGTAAGCAACTCGAGGCAAATGATGTGCCAATACAGATGGGGGCCCGTCCACAACCCCGAAACTTCATGCCCGTTGTACGTGGCACCCCAGCCCGTAGTGGAGGCATCCGTGAACACAGCAGCATGGCTGAAAGCTTGTCGACAGGCCGGAGTGATCGTTACTTGGTGCGTGCCGCGTTGCCACACCCATCTTGGGACTCGACCGTGAAGCCAATGCTGAAGCAGTCTCATATGAAGAAATCTGAGCGGCATTACTGCAGCTGCGGATGTTATATGCCCCAAGAGCCTCTGAAACAGTTTCAGTGGGGCCGCTGTCCTGCGCTTGAGAGAATTCAAGCAGTTCAGCATCGACCGAACACGTTCCTCTGTGAGGCGTGCCGTCAGGTTGACCGAGTCCAACTCCATACCAAGAAAAGAGATCCTCTGCACTGGAGAGAGTTTGCTCTTTTCCCAGTTGATCTCAAAGTCCCAACTGGCTGAGGTGACTGAGCACCATGTCCCTATGCTCGCACAACTGCTCCCGGGACTAAGCCAGAATGAGCCAGTCGTCGAGATAGTTGAGAATGCGAACACCCTGTTCTCTCATGAGAACAAGGGCCACCTCCGCAACCTTTGTAAAGACGCGGGGTGACAGGGACAGCCTGAAGGGAAGGACCTTGTACTGATATGCCCGTCCCTTGAACGCAAAGTGGAGAAACAGCCTGTACTGAGGGAGAATAGAGACATGAAAGTATGTCTTTCAGGTTGATCGCTGCAAACCAATCTCGGGGACGGATGCATTCGAAAATGCGTTTCTGCGTCAACATTTTGAACGGTAGCT